GCTCCCAGCGTGACCTGGGCTTTGCTGTGCACACAGCTTTGCAGTGCAGGCCCTGAAGTCCCTGCTGTGCCAAATGCATCGTGAGGAAGTGGTGGTGGAAATGGAACACAAGCGTGGCTGGGACAAGCTGCTCTCTGCTGACACCCACCACTATGCCGTGGGTCTGCTGGCCAGGTGAGACCCCCTTCTCCCCACTGCCTCTGGCATTTGTGCCCCGTGCTGAGGTTGCCCAACACAGTCCCCACTGTCGTGGGCCAGAGGGCCTCGTCACCGAGGGACGGCTAGGGAGACTGGAAAAGGCTGGGAAAGGAGGGTGCCCACAAGGAGTCACCTCCCCAAGGGCCCAGGTCCCCTATCCTTGCAGGATGGTGCTCAAAGATGTGAACTCTGTCAGTCAGTCCTGGGAGATGTTTGTCCTCCCAGCTCACAGTCTGGGCTACTTTTTCACCCTGGCAGGGAGATGTCGTCTGCCTCTATCCCCTTGTGTTCCCGCATCGTTCCCTACCTGCTCCAGCTGCTCAGCACACAGGAGGCACGCTGGGATCTGCCTGCCCTGGCATTCCTTGTGGAGGTGAGCCTGATGGCCAAAAGTGCCTCCCTGCAGAGCTGCCTGCCACCTCTCTGCCCTCTCATAGCTGAAGCTGCCTGGGACGGTGCCCATGCCTTGTGCTGCTGCCTGGGCCCTGTTTCCTGTCTTGTTTCTGGGCTCCTGCCGGCTGCCTCCCCTGTCACTGCCCTGTGCCTTTCAGATCCTGGACTACCTGGACTTGAGCGAACGCAGCGCTAACAGAGTCCTGGAAATCTTCTCAAGGCACCTGCGGAGCGAGAGCAGGGACAAGCGTCACCTGGCGCTCAGGGCCCTTTTCAAGTTGATTGACGATCCCTCGATGGTGAGAAGTGGGCAGTGGCTGAAGCTGCGCCGGGAAACGCAGTCCCTTGGGCTCGGCTGGGCTTCGGGCCCCGAGGCAGCTGCTGCCAGCTCTCCTGCCTCCTGCTTCTTCCTGAGTGCTTTGGGACAGGCCTTTGGCCTCTTGGCCCTGTGGCAGCAGGGTGGCGTTTCACAGACTTGTCTTCCACACAGGCTGAAAAAATGCGGAGCCTGACTGAAAGTCTTGTAGATTTCCTGTGGGATGCAGATGGAGAGATAGTCAGGATGACAGTCATGGTGCTCAGCTTTATCGTCTTGGACAAGGACATGCTGATACCCAGCCCCATTGCCCTGCAGCTGGCTGAGGCGCTCCTGCCACTCTTTGACCACGTAAGGCTCTGTGCCCCCAGCCGAGGCCACTGGCTGCTGCCCAGACACTTGGTGCCCGGGGGATTCTCAGGCCTGCGCCCTGCTGAGCCCCATGCAGACAGGGCTGAGGTCTTTTTTCCTTCCTTCCTTTCATATTTCCTTCCTTTCATATAGGATAATAGCCAGGTGCAGCTGGTGTCCATATTATTCTTCCGATCATTGATGACTCTTCTAACAGAAAAGGAAAAAAAGGCCCTGAAGTCACACGTGCACCACAGCCTGCTGCCTCTCTTCTTCCACTGCCATGACGAGAACCAGCAGGTGGCAGAGGTGAGGATTCCTGGGCTGCTGCTGTCACCCGGGGAGGGGGCTCGGCCGCCTCCTGCCCTGGCACCTTGCCGGCTGCAGCCTCCTCCTGGCCTTGGCACACGAATGCGGGCGGGTCCTGTGTCCTGACTTGTGGGGCCATCTGCGGGTCTCTGCTGCTCTCCAGGCTACTTGGGCAACGCTGCTTTGTGCGGCCGAGTTCCTGAGGAGGAGAGATCTTGAAAGACCTGTGAAAAAGAAGAAGCTGTGGATGATCACCGAGTGCCTGGTAAGGACGGCTTGGAAGGCCCAGCCTCAGCCTGGAGAAGCCCCCTGTCCCCAGCGCTCGGTGTGTGGGGCTGGCAGCTGCGCCCCTGCCCAGTGCCGCCCCCGGGGGCCGCACGGCTTCTTCTTCAGGCTCCTGTGGTCCCGAGCCTGGTTCCGATGGAGCCCCGATCCACTGGGGCTGCAGGGCAGGGGGGCACCGCGGCTCCCTGGGCAGCAGCCGGCCCTCTGCCCCTTGCAGAGCTCGGCGCCAGCGGCTGCTGGCCGGGCCTCAGGGTTGGCCGTGCAGGTAGTGCCCGGCCGAGGGGCAGAGCCCGCGCCAACCATTCCCTCCTGCCGCTCTCTCCAGCTGGCACAGGACAGGAACCGAGCGGCGGAGGACCTGCGCCGGGCCCTGCCGTACCTGCAGAGCCCACAGGAGCCCCTGCGAGCGGCGGCCATCAGGTTCATCGGTGAGCCACGAGCCCGGGCTCCCTCCCCGCCCCGCCACAGCTCGGCCCCGGCCCCGACTGCTGCCCCGGCAGCGGCACCCGGGCCCCACGCCCTGGAGCCCTGCCTCCCCTCGGGGCTGCTGCTGCCGGCCTCTGGCAGCCGTGCCCTTGGGCTGAGTCAGGATGCGGCACGGGCCCGGGCTGAGCCCTGCCGGGGCGGGAGGGCGTGTGAGCACAGGGCTGGCAGCGCCGCTGGCAGGGAGCTGTGCCGCTGGGGCCCTGACAGGCTCTGTGTTCCCAGGGATGGCCGGGCGGCTCCTGAGGCGGCAGAAAGAAGACCTGCAGCTAATTTACAAATGTGAGTGAGGGCAGTGGGCTGTCAGCGGGGATGTCGGGGAGAGCAGCAAGTCCTGGACTGTCTGCGAAGGTCTCTGCTCAATGTGCGGATGAGGGGCGGCGTGGGTGGATCACTCCGAGGTTTCACGTGGGGCATTCGTGGCCAGCAGCTTCGGGCTGATCCCCTTGGTCCCTGCTCCCTGCTGGCCATGGCAAGAGCCGGCTGGGATGGCCCTGGCCGGGGGCTCTCTGTGGGCCTCCGCAGGTCTGGGAATCTGACGGTGGCTCTGTTCATCTCTCTTCCAGCCCTTGAAAGCCTGACAGAGGACAGAAGCTGTTCCATGTCAGACCTGGCACTTGAAACATTGTAAGTTCTTCAGGCAATACAGAGTGGCCGATATTCCGTCCTCCAGAGGATGCAAGATCAATTCCTCAGGTCATGGAGGACACGGCCTCGTCTGTCTGGCCTCAGCTGGCTGAGCTGCTGGATCTCTGCAGAGAGCTGATCTGGGAGGCTCTGTCTGCTGGGGCCACCTGAACCAGCAGGGATTTTTTTTTGTTTCTTAAATATTGTTCTTTTCTTCTTTTGGTTTTCATTTAGTATGTAAATATAGGATATGTTAAAATATACAGAATCCCAAGACCTTTCCTTTGCTGCCCAGGGTGTGTGGGGCATAGTGGAAGAGAGGGAAGAGGGTGGCTTATGCTCAGCAACCTGCTAGGGCATGCAGCGGTGCAGGGAAAATGGACAGAAGCCCTTGGCCTTTGGAGATTCTGCTGAAGGCACAAACCCTGTCTCAGCCAGGAAGCGCCGCCATCTGTGTCCTCGTGCCCGTGTGGTGCTGGCTGGGTTGCTGAGGGCTCCCACGTGCCTCTTGATCCTGCTCCTCTGGAGCTCCTGTGGGGCTGTGGCGCTGCTGCCGGGCTGCACTGGGGGAGACTCTGAGGGAACAGGGCACTGGGAGGCTGTAAATGGATGAGGGTCTGTGGAGGCCCAGGCGGGACAAAAGCGTGGGAAGGCGTGAGGGGCATGTGTGGAGGCTGGAGGCTCCAAAGGGGACAGGAGGCCCCTGAAAGGCTGGACCGGTGGGAAGACCTGAGGAATTGGGTGTCAGAGGGCATAAGCAGCCCCCGGGCAGCCACCTTTTTCCTGACAGCCGGCCGACCTGGCACTTCCCCAGAATGTCTCCCAGGCCTGCAGCAGAAGCCCTCGAGGCTGGGACAACACCCCTCCAGGAGGGTACGGACAGCCCAAGGTATGCCCAGGCTGGGCTGGCTGGGGACATGCAGGGCAGGGGGGTGCTGCCGGCCCATGGCCACTGGGTGCCTGCGATAAGGGGCAGTGGGCAGAGGCAGGGCTGGCCGCCAGCCCGGGCCCTCGCGGCTGCCCAGGACACGGTGCTGTGACTGAGGCTCCCCTGACACAGAGCTCGGGGTCCGCAGAGCTGCTGCCACCAAGGGGAGGGTGGTGATGTCTCCTCCAGCAGGGCTGCCCAGTCGCTGCTGCTGAAGCGACTCAGGAGCCCACAGAAACAGCAGCAGAGTGTGCACAGGAACAGCAGCAGAGTGTGCACAGGAACAGCAGCAGAGTGTGCACAGGAACAGCAGCAGCCCCAACGTCGGCACCTGCACAGTGAGGCGTCCGCAGCAGCCGGGTGCCAAACCGGGGGAGGCTGTGGGCACAGTTGCCTTTGGTTTAGCAGAAGGCTTCAGCAGAATTGGCCACAATGGCTTTCTCTTCACTTGCCAGCCTCACAGCAACGCTTGACAGCTTCAGCTGCAGCCTGTGCCCCTGACTGACTTGGATGGCCGTGCTTGAGGGCGGGCTCGCCTTCCACCTCATGTGTTGTTGTAGTGCGTCTAAAAATCTTGGTATCTCCCAAGAGTAAAACTCACCTCTGTTTTGTGTAATGTTAGTTCCTACCTGAGAACCTTCTCCCTTCCCCCTTCCCATTGGCTGTATCCTCTCTGTATCCCCCGATCACCCCCACCCCTTTGTATAAGAGATAAGATCCAGGGCATTTCTGTCTCTTTCTTGCCCCGGATGGACGACAGACAATAAACCTGCAATTTGGATTATTCCAGCAAGTTTGGGCCTCCTGTGTCTAGATACTTTGAGTCCGTGTTGTATCCACTTATCCCTCCGGCCCCTGTTCCCCAGGGAGAAGGGGCAGGGAGAGAGAGAGTTACACCCCTTGCTCCTGCAGAGGGGCAGGGAGAGGGGTGTCCCGGCCCTGCCTCCCGATGGGGGGGTGCCAGCCTACCGAGCCTGGCGTGGCAGGGTGCGGGCCCCCGCCTGGCTCCTGCAGGGGAGGAGCTGGGTCTCTCCACAGGCTTGGTGAGGGAATGGAGCCCCCAGAGCCCGGCGTGGGGGGGTGCAGGCAGAGAAACCCAGGGAATACCAGCCCTGGAGAAGATGAAGGTATGCTAACAGCGGCTCCTGTAGTATACAATAGCAGCTGATATTCAAGTCAGTTATGTTAATATTAACCAGCTCCCATCTGATAGTTTCTTACAGTTTGTAGATCGACTGAGACTACAGATACAGAGACAAGTTAAAGAACCAGTGGCCCAGACAGAACTGCTTCAAGAAATGGCCCAAAGAAATGCCAACGACGCTTGTCGTAGAGCAATTCTGAGTCTACCTATTAACCCTCCACCCACCATAGCAGATATGATTGAAGCCATGTGCCCAGAAAGCAGACTTGTACAGTGTACACGGCAAGAAACCAGGCAACCCAAGGACAGTGGCAGCAGTGACACCAGGAATGAATAAGCCACAGATGT